GCTTGGCTTTTAGGAGCCAGAGTGCCTGCCGACAAAGATTCCTGTTCCGGGCCCTAATTACCACTTGATGGAATGAATCAAGACATTGTGTTTTCTACATTTGACTTACAGAGTTGCTGATGCGGTGAATGTTGGATGAAACGTCTCTTTCCTCAGAGAGATTAAAAACCAAGTGCCTCGGAGACAGATCCGAGTGGCTGTGTTAGCAACAGACTTTCCCTCCTGCCCTTGTGTGGCCCTGCAGTTTGGGCTGGTCTGGGGTCAGGGAGAGTGGCTCCCTCTTGGGACCCTTCCTGTACTTTCTACTCTTTTGCAATGAAAGTGGAAGACACCTTGACCATCTAATCTGGCTGAATAAAGAAAGAGACAAGGATTATTGCACACTTGCTGCCTGTCAGGTTTTCCCATCCATTCTCTTGTTTCCTTCTCACGACAATGTTATGCAATGGCTTGCTGTCCCCATTGTGCAGATGAGGCAGCTGAGGCTCAGAGAGTTATTCAGCATTTTGCCAAGGTCACACACAGCCAGCAGGTAGCAGAAGAGTGGTTTGAATTCAGCCTTCTGGTGCTGTGGCCATGGTCTTTCCCCTTTTGCCCCAGGACACTTTCCTAGCCTGCTTGGTCCAGTCTGTCCAGCCCCTGAGGAGCCAACCAGTTCTTTTCCTTGAGAGTGAATGGCAAAGAGAGTGTAGTGGTTAACTTCTGCAGCATAATGAACATCCCCCAGACTTAGTGGCTTAAAACAACAAAGTTTATTGTTTTTCACGGCTCTCTGTGAGCTAAAATGGTTCTTTTGGTTTGGACTAGCTCGACTGGGGTTGGAAGGTCTGGGTGGCCTCACTCAATGTCAGTTGGAGCAAGAACCAGATGGTCTCTCATCCTCCAGGAGGCTAGTCCAGGCCTGTGTTTCATATGTAGATGTCGACGTAGATGTCCACGTAAATATCCGTCTTTCCTCTTTGTAGATAACTCTGCTGGTGTGAACGCTGTCTATCTTGACTCATTTGCGTGCTAGTAGAAGGTTCCTAGTAGCAGAAGAGGGAAGCCCTGATGCACATGTCCAAGTCCAGATTCAAGGGGTGCAGAATAGACTCCTTCTCTTGGTGGGAGGGGCTAGGTAGTCCCATTACCAAGGGCGTGCATCCAGAGAGGGGAAGACCTTATGGTCATTTTGCAGTCTACCGCAAAGGGTAGCGTTCTTCAGAAGGCCATTTCACGATTCCCAGTCCTGTTAACTAAGGACTTGGAGAGGGGGCCTAATTGATCCTCTACATCTGGAAAGGATGTCACCGAGGCTATTGCAGACAGATATTTCATTTTTGTATTTTTCTTGTTGCTGTTTTTTAATATGCAGAGAATGAGAAAACAAAACCTCCTTTTGATAATTTATCCACGTTCTCCTAACCAACCATTATCTTTCATTATTTTTATTTCTCTGGAGCAGATGCTTCCGAAGCCTGGGAGTACATGTTTGGACCTGGTGGTGGGGCCTGTCCCTGCTCCACGACTTGTAACTGCAGGGATGAAGGAGAGAGCAGCTCTGTGCCCCATGCCTCACCCCGTCTCTAGGGCTCCCGGCACGCTTTGGTTTCTCCATATGAACTTCACATATTTTTTCCCCATGATTTGGGAAGTGCAGACCAGCGAGTTGTAGGCTCTTTGAAGGAGGGAGAGGTTCAGAAGAACCCGTGGGGTAGTTGAGTCTGTATATCTGGCCAGCTTTATCTCAGATTCTACACTCCTGTCCCTCCAGCCTCTCTCCTGTGCTTCCAGGCCATGGTGGCCTGTTTTCTGAGTAGACACTGCTGTAACCGGAGGGTCGTGGAAACCAGTTTCAGGGCAGCCTGCCTTGGGTCCTATGGGGTGGAGCCCTCGGGCCTCAGTTCAGGGTTTCTCTGAAACTCCCCTTCTCATGGGGAGAAGTAGAAACACCTTGGGCCTTTCCCCAGCTCAGCCGTCTCTGGGGACTCACTCTGGGAGCAAGTCAATCACAGCCAGGCCCCAAGGCCCGTGGTCCGAAGGTGAAAGGCTTTGGGAGCTGCTTAAAATTCGTGGCTGGTTTTGGTTTTATTCTTTCCTGCCTTGGCATCAGAACATAGCCTAGAGCACAGCAGCTGTGCTCTAGGAGGGAACTCACCCTTTGACCACCATGCAGGTGGCAGAAGGTTCCGGGGAGGGTGGTGCTGGCAGCTCGGGTTCAGGTGGAAATGCAGCACGTCGCTCCAGTTGCCATGGTGGGAGGGGGCAAGGAGGAGGTGAGACCCTCGGTGTGGGGGCCCTGAAGGCTGTGTCACCAAAGGCTGCAACATTTGCCCTCAGAAGAAGGACTTCCTGAAGCTGCTCCTCTCACCATGGGGGCACCCAGCCCTGCCCAACCCAGCCTGCTGGTTCTTCAGCGCGGCTGACTCCTTGCGCGCCGTCAGCCTGTATGGGGCCCATTAAAGCAAGAGAGGAAAAGGTTTTATGAGGGTGGTGTTTTTTCCCCTCTGTCTTAAAAAAAAGGTAAAGTGTTTGTCTTCACATTAAACAAATGTCACATCAGCTTTGGCTGCCTGGATGTCAGCCTTGCAGAAGCAGTGCCTCGGGTTAACTCAGGGACGCTGGGGTTTCCATTCTCGGGGCCTCCCAGGAACGCCCTCATGGTTCTTGTCTGTTCCTGGAACCAGAGGGCTGAGGAGGGATGTCCGTTTTCGTTTTGCTCCTCCTCCCATTTGGGGGTCCGGGGACCCCTCCCATGAGGGTCCCTAGGAGCCCCTGACACTACAGGAAACATTTTGTATATGTATAGAAAGTGAAATTGGAGGGGCTACATCTGTAGCCTTCTTCACCTTCTCAAAGAGGTCTGCGACCCTAAAACAGATTAAGCACTCTTGAGGACTAGTCTAGCTCCCTCGCTGTCGACAGGAAGAACCTCGGGCCCGGACACGGCAAGTGACTGGATTCAAACCACACAGCACATTAGTGGCTTTCTGTTTAAAGATCAAATCCCCGTGTTTAAGGGGAGGGGGACAATAGTGAGGAGGGGGGGCTTTTTCTCATTTGCTGGCGATTTGCAAGCAGCTTGTCTCTTAATGGATCGTATGTGTGGTGTTCTTTGTTGTTGTTGTTGTTGGACTCACTCCCAGAAGTAAAGGGCTGAGATGAGCAAAATAAATAAGGAATAAACAGGCTTAACGTGTGGGAGAGTGGAAAGTAAAAAGCAAAGCGACTGTGAGTTTGGGGCAACACTGACTCAGAAGGGAACGGGAGCAAAGCTGAAGCTGTACCGTGCGTTCCTTGTCCAGAGTTAATGAGATGGAAAAAGAGCAGCATCCACGATCAAAAGCCAGCGAGATTCTCTATTTTGTTTTATGCTACAGTGGGGGCTAAGGGTTGCCGTTCTCTTTAAATGAGGAGCCCCGAGCTTAGCGCTTAGCGTGTTACCCCGACTGCTGCAGGCCTGGAGGACTGAAATGGAACTCTCGCCCTCTGGGCCCTTGATCCTGGGCTTTGATTCTGCCTGGGTCCCTCCAACCTGCTCAATCACCAGCCAGGTACCCTGGGGCCATCTTCCTTCTGCTCTCATCCTTCTCTTTCATCCCGCTCCTTAAATTTCCAACTTGTTCCACCTTCTGGATTGATCGGAAGCCCACGGGGGCCAGCTGCACTGGGATGGGTCCCTCCTCTTTCTTTGTTACCTTTGGCAAGCCCTGAATCCCCCACTTGTGGTTTCTATGAAGTGATGAGGGTGCTGAAAATATCCTTTGGGTATTCTCAACTGATAGGAGTTTTTGCTTCCTGGGGCTAGTCTCCATTTAGTGGATAAAATAGAACTCTTTAGGAATTAATCACTACCCCGCTGGCTCCTCACAGGCCTGGCAGCCCCGTTAAGGGACCACAAGGCCCTTTCTGGGAATAGGTGGATGGCTGTGTTGGGACCTGCCTGAAGAGGAAGGAAGGAGCCGACTTGGCATCTTACAGCCATTCACTCAGGCCAGCCTCATCACAGCCCTTTGGAGGGGGCTGGGGGGGGGCATTGGTAGCCCATTTTGCAGATGAGAAAATAAAAGCCTAGAGAAGTGAAGGAGGCTGCTTCAGTCCTGCAGAAAGAGGCTTGAGCACAGAACTATCTGAACCCAGAGCCCATTGTCCTGGTCGAGGGCCTGGCTGAGAGTGAGGTATCTGCCTCTCCTTACTCTCCTGACTGTGTTTTCATTAGTATCTTGTTAATACTAGAAGATGTCCGTGGTGGTCAATGCCAGCTCAAATAGTAGAGGCCTAAGGCAGAGGAGAAGGAGGAAGAAGCCTGAGGAGTGATTTTCATAGGGGAATCTCCTAGCTGAGCTGATAAGTGGGTGGGCTGTGTCCTGCTGGCAGACATGCTTTGTCCAGAAATGCTGTTGCTTTGAGATGACTTTGAATGCCTTTGGGCAGGGCAGGCATTTTCCGCTGGGGCCACAGACCCACCTGTCCCTCCTGCCACATGCCTGATGACGTCACACTTTATTGGGTTGGCTGGCTCCAGAGAAGGATTCCGCACATCTCTCCCCAGTTCCACATTCAATAACATCAGGTTGGTAGCTTGAAATGGGCCATTTTGAGTGTACTCACACCGTAGAAATCAGTAAACACTACAAATCAGAGCTTTTTATTTCATTTACTTAGTTGTTTATTGTATGAGAGCTGGTTTACCTGCACACCACTGCCTATAGGCATCTGATTCCAACCCTTGCTCGAAAAGTCTCTCCAATTTGTTCCAGGCATGTTCACCCATGTCGGTTTCAATCTCATTTACTTGGCACGACAACCCTGCATGGGGGGATGTCACTGACCCCAGTTTGAATATAAAGAATGCGTGCAGGGAGGGTAGGGCCAGAGCTGGGATTCAAAGACAAATCCTTTGTCTTTCAAGTTCAATGCTCCTTGATGGCTTAGCTCCCTGGTTCTCAACTGGGGAGCGGTCTTGCCCCCTGGGGACATTTGGCAATGTCTGGAAACGTTTTCGGTTGTCACAAGTGGAGGCGGTGCTACTGGCATCGAGTGGGCAGAGGCCAGGGATGCTGCTATACATCTTACAGTGCACAGGACGGTCCCCACAACAGTTATCCAGCTCTGATGTCAGAAGTGCCGAGGTTGAGGAGCCTGGCTTAGCTGGTGGTGCCTGCTTGAATATGCCCCTTCTTTTCCTGTCTCAGGAAGAGATGAAGTAAATAGAGGTCACTTTCATCTTGGTCAGGAAGGGGAGCATCATTGGGGAAGAGTGACTGTTCTGCCGAGCAGGTTTCAGAATGGGGCTGAGTACAGCCCTGACTGGTTTATGCCCAGACCTAGGGAGTCAGAATGTGGCAGGAGAGGCTCATGGTCATCACCAAGCAGTGTTAGCTGTGACCTGAAGACAAATGAGGATATGGGAGGATTTCACAAGAAAAAGAAGTTGGAGGGGAGGTGATAATACGCAGAAAGAGCTCCCATCCCAGGAAGGGGCCAGCTGGACTCCGTTAGCCTGAAAGTCTGAGCTGGAGAAAACATAGTCAAGATGCAGATGAGGGGTTTAGAGGCCACATTGGTGGTTCCCAAATCTGCCTCATTGTCAGAATCAACCAGGGAGCTTTAATAAGAAAAAAAATCATATGGCCAGTCCCCACCTCAGACTTAATTGGAACAGCCAGGAATGGGGTCCAGAACTCTGAATTTTTAAAAACTCCCCAAGTGATACTGATGACCAACCAAGTTTGGGGACCCCTGGGATAGATGAGCATGTTATTTGTCAGTGAGGGCTGTTAAACATCAAAATGAGTATTTGAGGGAGGCTGGGAATCAACACTCATTCATGCAACGAATATTCGAAGCCCTACCACATGCCAGGCGCTGGTCTGGGCTTACAGCAGGAGGGTGGCAGGTCTCCTGTTCTCCAGGAGCACACAGAATAGTATTCGGCACAGGTGACAAAATCTCTCTGAGTCTCATTTTCCTCATCAGTTAAATATGACAAATACTACTTAGAGCACAGGGTCTTGGTGATATTTATGTAAAAGAGCAAAGTGAAAACCATTAATAAGTTCCTAGCTTAGCATCTGGGCCAGAGTGGTTCTCCAGAGCTGTCTGCTCTTCATGATTCTTGATACAAGAGCTTGCTCTCTTTCAGTTCAAGTTCCGTGTGTATTGAGAGTCTACTCTGTGTCAGGGTCGTTCCAGGCTCTGAAGGGGATTGAAGTGAGGGAGACCTGGTCTTGATCCTCAGAGAGCTTAGCGTGAGGTAGGGAAGCAGGTGTGTAAACCCCCACTGCTTCAGCATATAGAACGAACTCCAGGCTACACTGTGCACAGACAGCACGCGCCCAACTTTCTGTGGGTTTGGGGCGAGAGGGTACAAGGGCCAAGGGGAGCTGCTTAAAGAGAATTCCAAAGGAAGTTGCTGGATTTTGCAGGATGAACTGAGTTTTTTTAGGCAGGCAAGGTACAGAAGGCTTGTAGGCAGCCAGGACAGAATGTACGAAGGTGAGGAGGCTTCAAAGAGGTATGTCCAGGGAGCGGGGGTTGTCTCTGGATCTCGCCTTCCAGAGTCTCTATGCCCTTCATTCTTGCCCTGTTTTCCTCTCTTTCTTCTCTCCTTTCTTCCAGGGGTATTGCACATACCAGGTGCAGACACTTGAGAAAGTTCATCTGCTGGATGCTTGATTTATCATTCAAACCTTCGGTAACCGATTTCCAGTCTCATAAAATATTAAATACATCCATATATTGAATATCACATTTTGATATGTTTTCATGCCTCATTTGCCACCAAAGTCAAGGACACACTCACATTTTTCATGGCACGGGGCCCAGATTTGTCCTCGAACAGTGTTTTATGATATCCCCTCCCCCACCGCTCCACCGCAGACCACATTCCTCAGTGTCTCACTTGAGCAGCCGCAGTGACAGCCCACTTGGCATGGACCATCACGGGCCCAGGGCAGAAAGGCCACATCTATCATCCCAGGGAGAGTTATTTACATAGCACTATAAACATTTGTGGAAGGGTGAGGTCTCTGCCAGACATCTCCAGATCCCATGTCAGACAGTGGCTAAGCCAGTGGCAGAGCCGGGGGAGAGGGGCTGCGAGTGTGCTCGTTCTTTCCCTCCGTCCCAGCTCTCATGCTTTCAACTGACATTTAACGAGCACCTACTAAGTGTCAGGTACTGAGCTAGGTCCTGGGGACTTGAAGATGATAAACTATTTCCTTGCCTTCAAAGAGGAAGGTATATATGTCATTCAGAGCACTAGAGTACCACAGAGATCTGGAAAGAAGCCTGTCATAGGAACTGTGAGCATGGAGAGGAAGGTAGGCAGCTCTCCCATTGGGACATGTAGAAGTGAGGGGGCAGCAGGAAGGACTTCTTAGAAGGAGTGACCCTTGAGCTCAGTTTTTGGCTAAGAGTAAGTGTGAAGATGGCAGAAGGAGGTGTGCCATGGAGGAGGGAGGCAGCCTGTTCTGGAGCTGGGAGCTACTCAGTATGGCTGGGGTTATAGGGTTCAGAGAGGAGCCTGATGGGACTTGAGTGTGGACAGGAGGTGAGGGCAGATCACAGATGACCTTTGAAGCCACGAGGATAAAGGAATTCAGGCTGTATCCTGTAGACAGTGGGGGTCCACTGAAGGGTTTTAAGTGAGGGGATGCCATGATCAAATATGTAATTGGGGATGGTTTGGAGCAGAACAAAACCAGGGGCAGGGAAGCCAGTCAGGAGGCTGCTCCTGTAGTCCAGGTGAGAAGTGATGAGGGCTGGAACCGGGGGGAGGAGGAGGACGTGACTTCAGGAGACATTTAGGAAGTGAACTGGATAGTGGTGACTGATCCAGGATTGTTGGGCACTTAGGTTCCCCCAAAAGGAGACCCTGAGAATAAGATTTATGTTGTAAGAGGTTTATTTGGGGGGTGACCTCAAGAAACACCAATGGCAAAGTGAGACAGGGAAGAGAAGGAAGCCAATGCAAGGAGCTTAAAGAGCAGGTTACAGCTTGGACACATGGGCTCAGTCCTGTCGGGGTCTCGCAGAGACAGTGGGGAACGTGGCTCCAAGGTGTCCCACCTGAGGGCTGGGAAGCTGGGGTACTCATCCTCCAGTTCCTATATGTCATTGGCTAAGGGTTGCATCCGTGTTTGACTCCCCAGCACTGTGTCTGCAAGGGAAAGCCCTCAGGAAGGGTCTCAGGTGCTTGCAGTACAAGGATGGCACTTGCCAAGGGGATACGGGCAGGGCACTGTTGGAATCTATACAGTGGGTAAGGGAGATGGGAAAGTCGAGGATGATTCCCAGGACAACTGGTTGGGTGGTGATGCCATCAGAAAGAGAGAATTTGGGAGGAGTAGCCATTTGGGGGCAGAAAGGGGGATGACTAATTCAGCTTGGACATGTTGAGTTTGGGGTGTCATGTGGAAACATCCAGCAAGCAACCGATTGATGGGACCTGGAATTCAGGTGATGGATGTAGGCTTGAGACACAGAGTTGGGCTTCATTTGGATAGAGATGCAGCCAAAGCTGTGGGCTCAGATTAAGTCACTTATAGTCACTTAAGGGGTACGATGAGCAGGTGATGGAGGAAAGAGCTGGGGAACATGAGGATGTATGGAGCAAGCTAACAAAGAAAGCTCGGAAGTCAACCAAGGAGCAAGTAGAGAGGTGGAAGGACTAGCGCAGCAGATGAGACCACAGACACCCAGGGAGGCAGTTTCCAGGAAGGAAGTGGTTGGAGATGACAGAGGCTGCTGAGAGAGGTCCAGTAAAGTGAGGAAGGAAGAGTACCTGTCAGGCAGTGAGGAGGTCATGGGGCCGTTGGGGGGGCATTTTTGTTGAGTGGTGGGAGGAGAAGCTAGAGAGCAGAGGCAGCTGTATGAAGTTTATGAGCAAGGAAGTGTCAAGGTCAGCGTGGCATTTTAGAAGATTCTTCTGGAACTGATGTACAAGATCGGAGAGAGGAGAGGCAGCAAGGAGGCTGCAGGCATCCCAGGTCCTGGCCTGGAGTGTAGCAGTGGGCTTAGAAAAGGAGAGACAGATGGGCAGCAGCTTGCAGGGAAGACTGGATAGGGCTCCTAGTCGCTAGGCTAAGGGGGCCCACTGCAGTGGCTCCCAGGCCCAGCCCCTCTGGTCACAGTCTGCTGGGATCTTACAGACTACTGTATCGTGTGTGCACATGCATGCGCGTGCACATTCCAGGGCTGAATGCTGTCGTCATTAACACACACAGTCTTTACCCTCCCCCTACCTGAGAGGGTGACCTTGGCCATGCTCCTAACCTCTCTGAGGCTTTTTGCTCATTGCAGAGAGGAAGCGATGATGCCCACCTCGCCCACCTCCTAAGTTGTGAGACTCAGGCGGCTGATCATTTCAAAGCCTGCCTAGGTTGTGATGACCTGTGTGGGTTTTAACGATGGTCAGAACAACCTTCAGGGCCTGTGTCTTTGGAGGGCCCAAGATGGTGCCCCCCGAAGCTGACCCTGCTGCCTCCTGCCCTGCTTCTCTGCTCACTGGGCTTGGAGCCCCCCAGGCTCACCCTTCTGGAATCGCTAGTGTGTGTTGACCTTGGATGCTTCCACCTCAAGGTGGACAGGCCTGGCTGGATGGCAGCCCGTGGACAAAAGTGACCTGCCAGCAGCAGCCTTTTCTCTCTCCTCCTCAATTCAGGGCTGGTCTGCGACCCACTGGCAGGGAGATTATTGAATCCGATTTGCTGAAACACAATAGCAAATTGATTTTGTAGCCACCAGCGCCTGTAACAATTTCCAAGTGAAGTTTGGATAGCACCATTGTGGGGTAATGACATTTTAATTATGTGTCATATTTAGTCTGGCTACATTTTGGAGGCCCGGGGCAGAGGCTCCCCAGCTCCTCCCTCCTGCTTCAGTCCAGTCTATTTGTCCCTTATCAGAGATATTACACCCCCTTGCCCAACCCTCTCCTGCCTCCGGGATCTGGGTGCTGAGCGGTTGGAGGTGAAGTTGAAGACAACTCTGGGCTTGCATCTGTTTCAGATTTTCCCCCCTTTCTAACACATGCTTTGTCCCTCCCTCTCTGCTTTTTCTTTCTCGCCCGCTTTGTATCTTTACTGACCTGCTTTCTGCC